TATGAGTTCAAACAACAGGTATCAATTCGGACAGTTCCCTCGTAAGAATAACTTTGTGTAGTTTCAAATTTCATCAAAGTCAAATACAGTCGAGTAGACCTAGTTAACAGAAGTCTATCAATTTTTTGTGATAAAATGACTTATTCATTGGCTGATATTAACCTTTTGGCTACCATCGACGTATATATGCGTTAGAAGCCTTATCTTTACATGCACTGAAGTAATCATTCATAATGTATGTTTTTTAGAAGCATTTGTCTAAAAATAAATATTAGGCACTATGCAGCGTCCAAATCACCATTTTATTAAGGTACATTATACAATCGTTTCATAGAAAAATCAATAAATTTTCCGAAAAATCGTTCCTTTCTTTTCGTATGTCGGCAGCCAAAGGGTGAATAAAGTGTGATCAATTATCAAAAGTCTTTCTAAATAATATTCAATGCCATTGTTTTCAAGAGAAAGTCATTGCCATATACAATATTGAAATTAGTGTACTGAGTGATTAATATTTTTGATCACGATCATGAAGAAAGCCTCTTATCACTTGTGATCACGTGTGATCGTAATCGTGACTTTGACGATCATGTAGTACACTAGTATTTAATCAGCTTTTGTACTTTGTTTGTTTTTTTGTTTTTTGCTTAAGAATAGCATATGAACTGTCAGATTTTTTCGTCAATTTCAATATAAACATTAGATTGCTGGAGAAATTATTGAGATCTGAAAACATATATATTACAACCATGATCACAAAATATTAGCTTTGATCACGATGATGTTCACGATTACGAAGAAAACCCTCTCGTGAATTACGATCACGAAGAAATCTTCTAATCATACACCATTATGATCGTGCTTGTGGATTTGACAATCATGCAGTACACTAATTGAAATTCTTTTGATTTTTATGTACAGATTTATATCACCTTAATAACGACATAATGAATAAGATTAAATAAAGAATAGTATGTTTGGCTTACGTACAAAAAAAAAACAAGACACATTATTTTTTTTGTTCTATTTGCTTATTTTCTTTATTTCTGTCATTAGTATTCGCGGCGATGATTATTCATATTAATCCACACGATGGTCTACTTGTTTTTATATAAAATAACTTCGTTCTTTCTTGTTCGATACTGAGCTGTTTACACCATACTATTTCAAACATACCAATCGAATAAGTTATTTTGTTTTTTCTTCTGTACAGAGTGTCCCATAAATAGCACTACGATAAAAATATCCAAATATCTGCACTCTGTGATACAATCAAATGGACTGATGTTTTGGTTAGTGATAGAACTTTATTCAAATTTTTTTCTTTCATATCAGTAATGTAAACAAATACCATCTATCACATATTATTGTTGATCTCACTAAAGAAATTTTATCTTTTATAATGTAGGAACAATATATGTGAAGGGTTTCATAGATAATTTTTAGTTGTTATCGAAGCGAACAGCAAAAAGAAAACGAAAGAAACTTTATGAATGATACAACATCAGTGGAAATAGACTAAATTTTCAGAACTAGCTTGTTTAAATGCTACAATTTGTATCTGAAAAGTAAAACACACAATTAAAGTCATTTGAGCATTGAATCACTAGCTTCTTCGAAAAAAAAACCAGTGTTCCATACTTGAAGATTCGGAATATTGCACTCGTTGATTTTTAAACTAACTACTGTTGAATATTTGATCTATTTGCATCAATTTTGTATCATTCATAAAGTTTGTTTTGATTTCTTCTTGGTATTTCTCTTAGGTAACAACTAAAAATTATCTATAGAACGCTTCGCATATATTTTTCTTAGATGATAACAGATAGGCTTTCTTTGGTGAGGTCAACAAATAATACTTAACAGAAATATTTGCTTACATTATCCGTACGACAAAAAAAAAAACTTTGAATAAAGTTCTCCCACTAACCAAAAACTCAGCCTATTTGATTGAACTTGAGTGCAGATATTTGAATTTTTCATCGTAGTGCTATTTAAGGGACACTGTGTCTCATCAGCATTGAACGGTTAACTTGAATAAAGTTAATCGATTTCTGAAGACATTATTAACCATTAACATGTATTCAATGTAGAAAACTTAGATAAAATATTTGCAATGAATAAGAATAGTTTTTAAATAAAATATTTGAAGAAGTTTTCTTAAACATCATTCACTATTGTTTATCTTCATCATAAAAATTAATTAATTAATGTTATTGTTCAAAATGTTTTATTTAAATATCGAAAAAAAATGTATAAGAAATAAAAAAACTAATTGTGAATTAAACCCTGATTTATGGTCAAAAAAAAAAATATTTACATTTTTATCTTTTCTCATTTTCATGAGTAATTCTTAATAATTGATTATCTCTTCATCATTATCCAAGAAAATATCTCAAACGAGAAATATAAATAATTAAAAGAAGATTATTATCTTACATAAGAACTGAATTCAAATACTTTTAAATAAATAAAAGTTCTGATGATATATCAAAGTATGATTCCCTTTAAATCAACGTAGATGATTTCATCCTGATGTAGAAAGCATTCATTGCAAATAGCTTTGATACAAAGTCTCCTAAGAATTCTTCAATCGAATTATACCGGAACGACAGTTAAGAGGAATATGCTTCCTAGTTAATCTCAATGATTCAATGACATTAATTAGAGTTCTACATCAAGTATATTTTTATTGATTTCGAGTAGATAATATATAAAAAAAAACTTTCCATAGAGAAATCTTTCAACTTCTAAATGATGATCTTTGCTCGAAGAATAATAATTGTTCTATTAGATAAGAGAAGAAAAAACTAAACCTCTGAAGATATTTATTTATATAACATTATACGAATAAATTTTCTTTTATCATAAAAAGAAAGTTGGAAGATTTCTCATTCAAATCCTCAATGATGAAAAGGTTGATTTTGTTCATAAAATTTTTATTTGTCATTTACTTCAATCTAACAAAAAATAAACAATGTAAAATTCTAATATCAATATTCATTTGTTTATTATTGAAATGATATTCAATTAATGTTTTTTTTTTTGCATTCATCATTGATTTCTTTTTAAGTTTCTGACTCGAAAGTCTAGTTTTTATTATATACACAAGAGATTGTTGCATTATTAGTAATTCAAAAATTAATTACACATATGAATATAGAGAAATAAAAATATGATGATTAATTTTCATTGACACGTATGTTATGAAATGTTAGTCTATTTCAATTCAATATTTAGACAAGGATTGAAAGAATTCTTTCAGTAGTACAAAGATAAAGAACAATGTGGAATCGATGATAAATTAATATTAATCATCATTACTGTTATTTCCCTCTTTGTCAAATATGAATCAGGGGAAAAAAACCAAAAATTAAGTTTTCTTCCGTTCTCTTCCCTTTTTTTTTGTGGAATCAAATACACAACCACGCAAGGTTGTTTCTTATTTTTTTCTTTTCTTCGTTCGTGTGCGGATAGTCGTCTCACTACTCAAATATATACGAGACAGAAGTCGAAAGCGAAGATAAATGTATTAGTTAACAAAAGGTAGAACACATATTATCGACCCAAAAAAAAAAACAATCTGAACTTTTTTTGTATTGCATTAAAAATTCCCCCAAAACCTCATATTGCTTACTAATTGAGAAATAGTAGACATAAACAAGTATTCATATTTTCCTAACTTCAATAAACATATGCACGTATTTTTTTCTTTCTTATACTTATAGAACTATAAAACATTATGAAGCAACAACGATCGAAAATTAGTCAAAGTAAAACAAGAAAGACAATATTATTATTCATTTCTTATGTTTTCTTTTTAGAACCCAAAAAACAAACCAATAAAAATATGCTTTATATTGAGTTAGATACAAAATGCAGGTAACATAAAAAGAAAATATTTGAAATTTATATAAAAGAAAATGATTTTAGTTGTCCATCATCAACATCAAATGATAATGCATTCATTCAAGTATATTAATCATTTTTAATATTTTTATTTATTTATTTATTTATTTCATTTAGTTTACTCGTCGTTATCTTAAATGTCAAAGCTCAATGCCTATTCGTATTATACGTTTATTTATTGAAAGAAGTTTATTTCATTCACCAATGACAACAGTAATTGTTATTAATAATAAAACAATAAAATTATATATTTTTGTTTTTTTTTTCAATTATTCTTAGATATCTATATTCGATTCAAACAATCGATTATTAAAAGATTCAGATCGTCTTTGTTCATTAAAACATACATGTTCATCATCATCTCATTATATTCCTCTTCGTTTTCAATTGAAAAATATTATAACATCTATTTCTAATTGTTCTTGTTTATCATCATCAATTGAACATGATTCATTATCATCAATTGAACATAATTCATCATCTTCATCTTTACCAACAATAATTCAACAAGAAAACATTGAACAAATACTCTCAACATGTTCAATTACTCAACAAACATCGTCATTGCCATCTTGTTTATCATCATCATCATCATCATCCTCAAATCTATTTTATAATCCTATTGAAATTTCTAATCTTCGAAATTCGAAATCGTTTTTCATCGATTCAATTTTGGACATATCAATGATTAATCATATAACATCTGAATTCGGTGAAATATGTTCACCATTAATAAAACGAAAACGATATCATGCACCGAAAAACATCATTCCTGATGTATCATTAGATATTCCTCTTGATCTACGAATAAAAAAACATTCATTATCTTCAATTGATTCATTATCTTCACAAACAAAATGCATGTAAACATTAATTTGTTGTACTTTCTTAATTTTTGTTTTTAATAGTATGTATACCATTTTTTATATACAGTCAAGATAATGATTTTTTTCTTAAATAAGGACCAACGTGAATAATTTATATTCCACTTTTTCTTTTATAAACGGAAGAGCATTGTAGGAAGTAAAACAAATACAAGCAGAAAAGAAAAATATATTGATAAAATTTCGTAATATCTAAGTGTAATGTCGTAAATATTTGACTCATTCATTTCATTCGTTTACAGAATAGATAGAAATAAAGAGAATCTGCACGATAAAATGAGTAATCTATCATCTTCTTGAAGGTTTTTAAAATTTATACAGCATGAAAGATCATGTTGTTCTGCATTTATGGATGTGATGAATTTGATTTTTATCAATGATAGAAAGCCAATATGGCTCATCAGTTTGTGTATTTGGGGTAAATGCATATTTAAGATTTGGAACGAACGAATTTTTTCTATATCGAAATACATTTGACATTGAATACTGTAGTTTGATGCACTACTTTTCTTCCCTCTACAAAGCGCATGCAGAGACTTGGTAAATTTTCTTTCCCCGCTGACAAATATATGACTCAGAATGCGACAGAAACGACACAGATACAACTAGTTCTTGATGCTGTAAATAAAAATAATACATTCGTAAAACTTTCTCAAAAACTGTGCCATTATTTCATCTACAAAATCTACTTGTTCAAAAGGTATCGAAATTTATCCAAATGCAGAATTTGTTACATTTGTTTTGTAAAGCATCCAATTTCCCGTTAATTTCAGGTTCTTGCTCGGCCATTTATACGAAAATCAATATTTGAAGAAAACTTTCGATCTTAAAATCAAGTTCAGAATCAAAAACTGGATCGAATGATATAGTTTTCGGCGAAAAACATTTCCTCACGAAACGACATTCAAGGGGGGGGGGGGGAGCACGGGAAAAACAGTTTAGAAAAGAAGTAGTGAAGGGAAGTATAGGAGTCTTCACGTCAAAAAAACATTTTTCGCTGAAAAATATACCGTTCGATTCAGTTTTTGATGCTGAACTCGATTTTAAGGTCGAAATTTTTCTTCAAACATTAGTTTTCACGTAAATGGTCGAACAAGAGCCTGAAATTAACGAAAAACTAGATGTTTTACCAAATACATGCAACAAATTTCACATTTGGATAAATTTCAAAACTTTTTGAATAAGTAGATTTTGAAGATGAAATAGTGTCGCAGTTTTCGACAAAATTTCACGAATGTATTATTTTTAGTTGCAAAGAAAAATCGGTCACACTATCTAGAACTATACTGTAAAAAATAAGAGTTTATGAGTTTGCGACAGGACATAAACCTTTTTTTCCGTTTATTATGGAATGGTAAGTCATATATTTGTTAGTGAGGAAAGAAAATTTACTAAGCCTCTGCATGCGTTTTGTACAGCGAAGAAAGGCGCATAAAGCTACAGTATTCAGTGTCAAAAATTATTTATATATTGAAAAAATTCGTTCGTTCCAAATCTTAAATATGCATTTATCCTTAATACACAAGCTGATAAGCCATATTGGCGCCCTATCATTGATAAAAATCAAACTCATCACATCCATAAATGCAGAACAACATGATCTTTCATGCTATATAAATTTTCAAAAGCTTGTAGACGATGGCAGATTTCTCATCTTATCATGCCGAATTCTTTCATGTAAAAGGATACTTTTGAAATAATTATATTTATTTATGTAGATAAGCAAACGTATTGAAATATTTACGAATCTCTTCATGTTGAAATTAGACACTAAATTTCGAAATTAATATAAGAAAATTGAAAGAATTCTTGAGAAATTTCACTTGCTTCTTCTTACTCATATATTTTATAGCCATTCAAATGTCACAAAAAAAAAATTCTTTCGACATAACATATGTCTTATCGTTTTAATATGAATATTTCAAAAGTAAACATATGACACAAAATCGAAGAAGTTTTGAAAATCTAAAGATTAAAGAGAAAAGTATTCGTTGCATCTGTTAGTTTTACTCTTATCTATGCCATAGTTCTATATTAAACAGCAGAGTTGATGGAACAGCAGCGATTGGTCGAGTAATAATTAGTCACATGTTTGACAGAAGCGTGATTACTATTTCATTTTCTATAAACGTCAATTTGTAAATATATGATTCAATCGCATGGCATCGTGAAAGAATGACAGCGGCATGTAAAAAATGAAGATTTAACTCATAAAATGGATTCATAGATGATCTCTCTGATAAGCGATAATTGAATATTGACATTTGCATTTTGAATTTATTGAAATATGAGAGAACGATAAAACTTATGTTCGTTGTCGAATAGTAAAAGTCGTAGCAGTCGGCAGAATCTTCAAAATAAGAAAAACTTATACGGATTATTGGAGAAATGTAAACCGACTACTACTTGCTCTCGTATGAGGCTTCATGTACAATTATAAGAGTTTATTTAACATTAGTATTTACACTCATATCTAATACTCTTTATTCTTGAACGGATTATTAGTTATTCACTACAAAAGAAAAAATGTAGAATAAGAAAGCCTACGAAATGGATTTATTAACCTCATATAAACCACTCACTCAGTTTTCATAAACCCTTGAAGGATTTATTATACGTTGCATTTTCATAAACTCTTATATAGTCATGAAGAAAATAAACCTTTCAAAAGTTTATTGTCTCTTTACATAAATCCTTAAAAGATTCATCAAATTGGCATAAATTGTAGAAGAGTTTTTGAGGCTAACACATCCCTTTTGTAGAGTTTATTACTCTAAGTTTTTTGTAAAAATGTTTTCTGGATCTCTCTGAGTTGATTCTCTATAATGCTAATCAAATTTGTTGATCCAGTCTTTTTCAGTGTGGCGATCTATCTATACTGCGACTTACTGTTGTAACGCCCAATTGATATCGACCAATTTTTGTTGATCATGAGTTAGTATCAATCATCGAACTCTTATTGATTTAGATCGTCAAAATACTTAATTAGAACTATAGATATATATTAGATCGATCGACTGAGTCGCCGACGCGGACAAATGCAAAATTTTGAATAAATCTCAGCCGTCGTTGCCATCCATGTTCGAGCGATCTAGCCATTAGCACCGATCAGTACATCGGCTTACACCTCAATTTAGAACATTGAACTATCCCTAAGATTTAGTCTTAGGAAAAATCTAGTTCAATGATTTTAAGAGTAGACTGGAAAATCTTTAATAAGTTGATGTTTACTTGTTAAAGCTGTATTTGAAAAAAAGCTATAGAATTTCTCGACTATGTAATTACTATTCTGATGAATAGAATGCTTTGAATTCGATGAATTTCCATCAGATCATATAAGATCAAATGATAAATTTAATCTTCTATCATCCGACCATTTATTATCCTTTAAAATGAAGCAATAGCACAATAGGAACAAAAAACAATTTGAAGCATTAAAATAAAAGAATATTATTATTTGTTTTCTTCAGAATTACATACACAACATCGAAAGAAACAAAAAAAAAAGACTTCAGAACAAAAAGTTGCGGTGGGATAAATGAAAGGAAGAGAGAGAGAGAAAAAAAACTAAAAACTTCTTATTCTTTTGTCTTCTATTTTCGTTACACTAATGACTAGAAATACCAATTTCGTTCAATTTGTTTGTTATATAATAGACGTTTGGGCGACAGAATAGTTATTAACACTCACTGTAAAATTAATTGAGATTCAAACATGCACATATATACAACAAAACTAAAATTATGTTTGAGATTGATTCAATCGATGAAATATAAAAAAACGATGTAGAAAACGTCGATGATTATTGTCTTGATGTCGTCGATTACGATTGATACTCGTTGATGAAGAAGAATCAAATTGAATAGTTGTATTATTACCAGTGGTACCTATTGATGATGTATTAGAATTTAATGGAGGTAAATCATTTGCATCAAGTACTGTTACAATACAATTATCACGATTATTATTTGAATTTTTTGTTCCTAAGATAGTAAAAAGAAATCGTTTTGATTCAATATTTTATTTATAAATTTATTTACCCGATAACATTACTCCACCATGACGTTCTTCATTTCTTGAATGAATAACAATACGTTGGTTAAACTGACGCCAACGAATACAAAGCTAAATAAACAATTGTAAAAAAAGATTTTTTCTTATGTTTTTAATAATTAGAAAGAATAATTTCGGAGTATGATTAGCAGATCTCCAGAACAAAAAAAAGCCATAGCCTTATATCATGAAAATTCACATCGTTCTTCCAAAGGTGACTTTCGATTCGATTGCGAGCTAGTTTTTTTTGGCTAACATTTACCTAGAAAACCATGGGTTTTTGAAGATACTTTTCTGATATTCAAATTGTTGTTATTAACAACTAAGTACCTGAAAACCATCTTTTTTTTACTAGAAAAAAAACACTAATTTTAGTTACAAAAAAAAATGGTTTATACTTAAAAACTGTTAGCGCAATCCTTACGAAATTAAAATGTGAAATACGATGTAGCTGCTAGTAATATTTCATTCTTTATAACAAGACGTTATTAATATATGATCTTTGATCGTATATCAAAGTCTATAATGATCAATGATGACCTTTGGATAGCGTCTGTATGGGGGAGGAGGTGAGAGTTCAAATTTTCAATCCTATATCCTAACACTCCTTTTAAATCGTGTCTCACAAAATTAGACTTTTAAGTGCTAAAATTTGGATAAATCATGACCTTCTATTAAGTTTTATGAAATTTTTTTTGTGAGTGATCTTTGAATATTAGATGCTCTTCTATTCTAAAGGAAGTTTAGATAATCATCTTACCTGAAGATACATTTTACATTGAACATAAAGAAAGATCTTAGAAAACAAAAGACATAATTATTTTCTATATATTTTTGTAAAAATTATTTTCTTACTAATCCACCAGTAAAACCAACAGCAACAATGATTAATTTCGTCCAAAAAGGCCATTCTATAAAAACAAAACAAATAAATATAATGTTTGATTAGTTTGTTTTTTTTTTACGAAAACAAA